TTATTGACATAATTGACACATAGAAGTAATGTCTTTAGGTATATGACTTGATGTTTTGATATATGATGTATTGTGAGATAGTCACTCTAAACAATTTAAATATCACTTCACATACTTAAAGTTTTCTGTTTTTTCTTTTAAAATATCTTAAGACTGTTTAAAGCAAATTTCAAGTAGGCAATACAGCATTATTTATTCTAGTCACGTTGCTGTATTTGACATCTCTTCATCATTTTGCACAACTCACATTCAGCACCTCTTTTTTCTTTTAGCCAGCTGAGCTCACCCTGAGGGTGGGGCTGGCGCAGTGTGTGGTGCTGGAGATTAGACAGTGGTCCCCTGCACCTGCCTAAGCTTGCCTACACAGGTGCTTTAGACCACTGAGCTATCTTGCCAGTCTGACACTTGGGACCTCTTGACCAACATATTCCCACTCTTCCTTTTTCCCATCCTTCCATAGTCATTATTCTCTCTACTTTAATAAATTTGAGAAATTTATATTCCATTTATGTATGAGATCATGTGATATTTATCTTTCTAAATCTGGATCATTTTATTTAGCATAACATTTTCCAAGTTTGTCCACTTATTTTTTCATGACATACCATGATTTCTTTTCCTAGTAAGGTAAATTTTCTTGTGATGTATCTTTATGTATCATTAATATTACCTTTTAATTCATTATTGTGTTGTTGAACATTCAGGTTATTTTTCAAATCTTGGCTATTAAATGAAGTTTTGGAAGTAGCTGGGTATATATAATATTTGAAATATAATCCCCTTTCTTTGAATGTGTGCCCAAAGTTGAGATTCTGAATCATAATGTAATTCTATTTTTAACTTTGGGAGGAAGCTTCATACAGTTTTCCATTGAATCTATACCAATTTGTACTTTTCTACCAATAGTAATGGACAAAGTTCACCAATATTTTTTAGCATTTGTATTTTGATAATAATCATTCAAGTTTTGTAAGGTCAGTTCTCACTGTGATATTTCTTTGGTATTAGTGATTAGTGATGTTGAGCAGTTTGTAGAATACCTGTAGGTGACAACTCTTCTAAGGAATTTCTATTCATCTTATTTTTAAATCAGGTTATTATCATTGTTGTTACATTGTCACTGCTATCAAATGGCATGATTTCCTTATACTATTGTTTCCTAGTTGGATTTTCTAGAAAGTAGTCTAAATGTTTCTTAGTTGGATTTTTGCTCTTGATTTTTCCCTTCATTGTGTTGACTCTTAAGGAGATACTAGCCTTTATCCCCACACCCACAACAAACCAAAACATCAGCAATATAGGAGTGAAAATAATAGTACTGGGAGAGCTTAATGGAACATTTAAGAACGTGAAATAACACAGGAGAGGAAAAAAAGCCAGTAAACACAGATAGTATTGCTGCATCGATTGTCTGGTCGTTATGAATGAAGAAGTAAGGTGATTTTCATTACTAGCTACTCAGCATGTACTGCTATGATCTATATGGAGCTGCTTTGCAGAAAACTATAGCATCTTTTGCCACAATGTCTCCTGCAACTGTTTTTCTCCTGACCCCTGGAGTAGGTGTATCAGTGTGCCTACCCTACTGCCCCAAAAATCCATGGTTTAACTATACTTAGAAGTACTCTGGCTCTGGAGCTGCCACCTTCCAGCCCTGTACAGACTCCAGGCCTTGGAACCATGGCTCCTCTTTCCACCCCCGCACTACACACTCGAGGTCCAAAAGCACTTCCTCAAAAACTTCAAAATAGCAATTACATTGTGTTCTTGATGCCAGCACTGTGCTCATATTGTCTGCTTCTCAAACTGTAGAACTAATATAGCAAAAGATTAATGCTGTTCTGGGACCTAGTGTTTCTTGTTGTTCTAAGCTGTAGATTCCAGTTCTGTAGCATTCCAACAGTGTCTACGTTGTGAGCATTTAAACCACCATCTCAGAAAACTAGTCTACTCCCTTGATCTGGAGTTGTTCTGGCATCATGTGTGGTTATGCCCCAAACTGTGAGCAAGGCCTAGATAGAGACTCACTTGAGCTCTGTGGGTGCACAGACCCTGAGAGGGAATGAGCAGAAAGGCATCCTGTGAGGTAATAATGGAGATGGAAACTCGAGATCTCACAATTGTAATTAAATGAGTACTCATAAATAATTAAGATGAGGGAAAGGAGAAAACAAAAAAGGAAGGGGGAAAAATCATGCAAGTATATAAACAAAATAAGATGTTTGAGATGATTGTGCTAATAATTTCCATCAGGTTTTTGAAAATGTCAGTTAATGTTTAGAATTTTCACCTTCACGAACTCTGTATGCTGATATCTGCAGTTTAAGCAACTACATCGAGGACAGCAATGTGTAATACAAAACCCATGGTTGAATACTTCTCATCTTGGTCTTCTAAATGTGTACCATTTATAATGTCTTATCAATTATTATACTCTCTTTAAAGTAAATCTTTTTAAAAAGTAAAAAAGACAAGAAAAAATTAAGGTTTATTGAAAGCAAGTTAATATTCAATTATTTGTCTAATCTTCCATTGCTATATCTGTTAATCTGAGCAACAGATTTGATGATAAAAATACATAATATAACAATGATTGTTAATTTTCTATTCTTGTTTTGAAAATCTGTGACATATGTATTGCTGTATGTTATGCTGTTTCTGTCTTTGTATTTGCTGTCTTTACTTTTGTTTTTACTCTTCAAAGAAATTAAAAAATAAAAATAAATGAGCACTCAATATCAGACAACTGAAATTTTATGAAGCAAATATTAATAAACATGCAAGAAAAGACAGTGCTGTATAATAATAGCAAGGAATTTCCATCCATCACTTTCAGTAATGGATTATGACAGAAAATTGATAGTGTTAATCATTGGAGTTGAACTTCAATTTGAAACAATAGATCTAACAGAAACATACAAAATATTCTGTCCAATAGTA